TGAAGTATAATGAAATTAAAAATTAAATGCACAACTTGTTTGAATGATAATTCAACACCACCCCCCACAACCCCACCCCACCCCACCCCACCCTGCTACAAAGAACCAGTCTTCTAATAAAGTATTTAAATTCAGGCACTTTGAAAAATGACGAAGTTCAAAATAGGTACATTTTAGGTACACTGGAAAATATATAAGTTCAACATAGGTACATTTCTGGCACACTGAAAAATGACAAAGTTCATAGTAGGTAAGATGGAAAATATCTAAGTCCATAATAGGTACATTTTAGGTACACTGAAAAATGACAAAGTCTGAAGTAGGCACATTTCAGGCACACTGTAAAATGACTAAGTCCAAATTAGGTACATTTTAGGTACACTGAAAAATGACAAAGTCTAAAGTAGGCACATTTCAGGCACACTGTAAAATGACAAAGTCCAAATTAGGTACATTTTAGGTACACTAGAAAATAATTAAGTTCATTTTTGGCACAGAATAGGTATGCCTTTTCTGTACCTATAATAGTAGGCACACATTAGGTACTGAAAAGGCACAAAAAAAGTATGCCTATATGTACCTTTTTTTTGTATGGGAAAGTAGAAATTCCTTTATTATTGAAAAGTTTGAATCCAAAAGTAGTCCCATGACCTATCATGGATTTGCTATTCTGGAGAAGATGATTTTTAAAGAATTTTCCTATATAGTTCAATCAAGATGTAAAACTTTGGTGGCCATTTTGGCCCCACCCTACCCCGGGGGTCATGACTTGAACAAACTACCTGAGGATTAGGGCTGTCACGGCTACCCGAAATGACCCGGAACCGCGGAACAATTAATTCGGGTCGGGTACGGTTCCGTTTTTCTGGAATTCGGTTCGGTTTCGATTTGTATAATAGAGTAGATTTTACTATAAAATGGCGTCAAAAACGAGAGTTTTGTTAGTAAATTGTCATTAAAAGACAGGGTTTCAGGTTGGCGTCGGCCATTTGCCAATAAAAGTTTACCTGCCATGTTGGCCTATAAGTTTGACACTGAACAGACACAATGGCCGATTATCTTCTGTATGTAAAGGCCAGTTGTATAATTTTTCCTCCATTCAGATCCGATTGTTTTTCTCTACTTTCTGCAACTGCCGATTCAATCAGCCAATGACATTTTGGTATAAATAGATCTTGACAAAATACTCTATAATTTTATTTCCAAACCCAACTGCAAGGAGCATAAAAGTAGTGATGAATGTTTAAAACATCGAAGGAATCCATGCCATGTTGTTATTTTTACCGCCATGATTGAATATGGGGTCGGACTAATAGCAGGAAACAGACAATGTTGCAAGGTTTTACTAAGGGAAAAAAAATGGTCTAGGTAATCTTTAAACATAATTATACATTGAATATCATCAGAGATACAAGTCTAATTTTTGGATTACTATTTTTAAAAATTTTAATCCCAAGAAATAAATACATTTACATGCAATGAAAGGTGGGACTAATATAAGTTAAATACCCATTGAATGGAATTAAAAAAAAACAATTACTATTCTGTTTCAATATATTAATTTTGTTTAAAAGAAACAAAATAATATTTCCACCTCATTAAAAGGAAAATTAATATAGTTTGAATATTTTATGTAATAAAATGACTGTTTTTGTAAAAGTCTGACAGAAATCCGAGTTAGTTTAACTTTTCTATTGGCCTATAATTTTAGGAAGTTTAGGACAGAATGGCCTATAATTTTTCTGGTAAATATGCCAGATGTCCTGTAGTTACTTATTTCAATCTGAAACCCTGAAAGGTGATTTAAAAATAATTTGGTACAGTTGTTGTCTAGTCAGGAGGCTACTTTAAACTAGTTATAATGTTGCAATTTCTAAGATTAAATGAGAATATTTTTTTTATTGTTGAAAATAATACAAATCATGAGCTTTTCTTCCATTACCTACCCGACCCGAGAAACCCGAAACCGAACCTCAAAAAATCAGAACCGACCCGACTCGAAAATTTTTGGAACCGTGACAGCCCTACTGAGGATGCTTCCATATAAATATGATGAACTATGGCTTTGCCATTCTTGAGAAGAAGATTTTTAAAGAATTTTCCTACATGCTTCTATGTAAAACTTTGGTCGGCCATTTTGGCTCCACCCTACCCCTGGGGGTCATAACTTGAACAAACTTAAATCTACACTACCTGAGGATGCTTCCATATAAATATGATGAATTATGGCTTTGTCATTCTTAAGAAGAAGATTTTTAAAGAATTTTCCTACATGCTTCTATGTAAAACTTTGGTTGGCCATTTTGGCCCTGCCCTACCCCTGGGGGTCATGATTTGAACAAACTTGAATCTACACTACCTGAGGATGCTTCCATATAAATATGATGAATTATGGCTTTGTCATTCTTGAGAAGAAGATTTTTAAAGAATTTTCCTATATATTTCTATGTAAAACTTTGGTCGACCATTTTGGCCCCGCCCTACCCCTGGGGGTCATGATTTGAATAAACTTGAATCTACACTACCTGAGGATGTTTCCCCATAGGTTTCATCTTTCCTGGCACAGTGGTTCTTAAGAAGAAGATTTTTAAAGCATGACACCAAATTTTCATTAATTCCCAATTATCTCCCCTTGAATGAGGGCGTGGCCCTTCACTTGAACAAACTTGAATCCCCTTCACCCAAGGATGCTTTGTGGCAAGTTTGGTTGAAATTGGCCCTGTGGTTTTTGAGAAGAAGTCGAAAATGTGAAAAGTTTACAGACAGACAGACAGACAGATGGACGCCGGACAAAATGTGATCAGAAAAGCTCACTTGAGCCTTCGGCTCAGGTGAGCTAAAAATATAACTTTGAATTGAGAAATGTCTTTTCTCAGAGCGGGGGATTGTCCTCGCCTTGTACGCCTCCATTCTTTGAAAAAAAAAAAAAGCATGCTCATTGAACTCTTTTAACAAGACTTAGTCACGGCTACATGTACAAAATACAAATGTATATTTTTTTGTGATTTTATTAATATTTTGAAAATGAGTTTGGAAAGAAATTTTTTTATTTTAAAAAATTCCATTTCCAGCTACTTGGTTAACATTAAATTGCTGGAGAGGTACCTTGCAAAAATTCCGGAAATGAAAAGAAATAAATGTCGGAAATGAAAAGAAAAATTGTCGGAAATGAAATAAAAAAATGTCGGAAATGCTAAGCAGATTTCCGGAAATGAAATGCAGCGTAATTAATACAATAGTTCAACTTTTGACTAGGTGGACCTTGTCAGCAATTAACCTCAGCATTCTGCATTGGTCAACCAGTCAAACATCATTGAACAAGAGGCCCATGGGCCACATCACTCACCTGAGAAGCTTTGACCATTCTGTTCTTTACTAGATTTCCCCCTTGTAATACATATTGTGACCCCACCCTACCCCACTGATCATAATTTAGACAATTTGAAATCTACACTATTCCAGGATGCTTCCACATAAGTTTCAGCTTTTCTGGCCCTGTGGTTCTTGAGAAGAAGATTTTCAAAGATTTTTCCTACATATTTCTTTGTAATACTTTGATTTCCCATTGTGGCCCTGCCCTACCCCCAGGGGCCATGATTGGATTAATTTAGAATCTTCACTACCTGAGGATGCTTTCACATAAGTTTCAGCTTTTCTGGCCCAGTGGTTCTTGAGAAGAAGATTTTCAAAGATTTTTCTATATATATCTATGTAAAACTTTGATTCCCCATTGTGGCCCCGCCCTACCCCCGCGGGTCATGATTTGTACAATTTAGAATCTACACTACCCCAGGATGCTTCCACATAAGTTTCAGCTTTTCTGGCCCAGTGGTTCTTGAGAAGAAGATTTTTAAAGATTTTTCCTATATATTTCTATGTAAAACTTTGATTCCCCATTGTGGCCCCGCCCAATCCCCGGGGATCATGATTTGAACAAATTTAGAATATACACTACCCCAGGATGCTTCTACATAAGTTTCAGCTTTTCTGGCCCAGTGGTTCTTGAGAAGAAGATTTTTAAAGATTTTTCCTATATATTTCTATGTAAAACTTTGATTCCCCATTGTGGCCCCACCCAATCCCCAGGGGTCATGATTTGAACAATTTAGAATCTACACTACCCCAGGATGCTTCCACATAAGTTTCAGCTTTTCTGGCACAGTGGTTCTTGAGAAGAAGATTTTTAAAGATTTTTCCTATATATATATTTCTCTGTAAAACTTTGATTCCCCATTGTGGCCCCGCCCAATCCCCAGGGGTCATGATTTGTACAATTTAGAATCTACACTACCCCAGGATGTTTCCACATAAGTTTCAGCTTTTCTGGCACAGTGGTCCTTGAGAAGATTTTTTAATGACCCCACCCTATTTTTGTCTTTTCTTGATTATCTCCCCTTGTGAAGGGACTTGGTCCTTCAATTTAACAATTTAAATTCCCCTTTAACCAAGGATGCTTTGTACAAAGTTTGGTCAAAATTGGCCCAGTGGCTCTTGAGAAGAAGTTGAAAATGTGAAAAGTTTACGGACGGACAGACAGCTAGACAGATAGACGGACGACGGACACAATGTGATCAGAAAAGCTCACTTGAGCCTTCGGCTCAGGTGAGCTAAAAAATCAAAAATTGTTTTATTTATAGACATATTTTGGTTCTAATGGTAAGACATAACATTTTTAAACCCTGTACACATTTCTTTTGGCTCAAAATTGTTTGATTTCAAAGCACCAGTTATGATTCTTGACTGCAGTTATGGAAACCTGAAATCTTGCAGGTAGAGGACCAGCAAGTCTGCTACCTCTAGTAAGTACTGAAAAGTCCTATAAATGTAACTCTTGAGAAATTGCGTCCATGTTCTTCTTTTTTTTAATCCTTTTGAAATCTATGAATATCATGGTCTAATTCTCTACTTAACAAATACCATGCATTGAAACTAACATTAACCGTCACATGGGCTCTAAGAAAATATATACACACTAGTGTAAACTGCATTTTCAAACTTACCGTAAGCTCTAGGCAACACCTGCTGAAAGTAAAAAACCAGAAGTCTCTGTCGAGACTGAAGCTCTACTGGTTTGAACTTATAGCAAAGGAAGAGAAGAGTACTTAAGCAGCTGGGATTTGAAACTTTACAACAGCTATATAGAATAATGATCGTTGATAAAGTCTCTTTATGTTCTTAGTGTAGTCTACTTGTGTGCCAAGTTATATTGAAATCAGACCAAAACTGTAGGAGGAGTAGCATTTCGAAACAATTTTACAGACATTTCAATTTTTAGTAACCACGGCAACACAGTTCATCAAAATTAAAATTTGGTACACAGAATTATGTATCTTAGTGTATTCTACTTGTGTGCCAAGTTATATTGAAATCAGACCAAAACTGTAGGAGGAGTAGCATTTTGAAACAATTTTACAGATATTTCTATTTTTAGTAACCACGGCAACACCGTTCATCTAAATCAAAAACCGATACACAGATTTATGTATCTTAGTGTATTCTACTTGTGTGCCAAATTATACTGAAATCAGACCAAAACTGTAGGAGGAGTAGCATTTTGAAAAAATTTCACAGAAATTTCTATTTTTAGTAACCACGGCAACATCGTTCATCGAAATCAAAATCCGATGCACTATTTTATGTATCTTAGTGTAGTCTACTTGTGTGCGAAGTTATACTGAAATCAGACCAAAACTGTAGGAGGAGTAGCATTTTGAAACAATTTCGCAGAAATTTCTATTTTTAGTAACCACGGCAACACCGTTCATCGAAATCAAAAACCGATACACAGAATTATGTATCTTAGTGTATTCTACTTGTGTGCCAAGTTATACTGAAATCAGACTAAAACTGTAGGAGGAGTAGCATTTTGAAAGAATTTCGCAGAAATTTCTATTTTTAGTAACCACGGCAACACCGTTCATCGAAATCAAAAACCGATATATAGAATTATGTATCTTAGTGTAGTCTACTTGTGTGCCAAGTTATACTGAAATCAGACCAAAACTGTAGGAGGAGTAGCATTTTGAAAGAATTTCACAGAAATTTCTATTTTTAGTAACCACGGCAACACCGTTCATCGAAATCAAAAACCGATACACAGAATTATGTATCTTAGTGTAGTCTACTTGTGTGCCAAGTTATATTGAAATTAGACCAAAACTGTAGGAGGAGTAGCATTTTGAAAAATTGTTTACAGACGGACAGACAGACAGACAGACGGACAGACGGACGGACGCCGGAAGCATTACTATCGCATAAGCTCTTCTGGTCTCTGACCAGTAGAGCTAAAAATGAAAAAAAAATAACAAATTTATGAAAAAATCCAATTTATAGATAATAAACATTTTCAAACTAAGATAATATGTAGCAATATTACTTAGCTGATCAAATTGTAAAACAATGAAATACATAGACAATTTTTGCCCTAAAAAGACGATATGTGACCCTTCATTTGAATAAAATTTTTTACGATGACAAACAACTGATAATTTCAAACAGAAAGGCTCACATGAACATTTGGCTCAGTTAACCTAAAAAATATCTTATTTGATTCAAAGGCCTTAACACTAATTTGAGAAAAGAAAAGAAAAAGCCACACTAAAGGTCAGAATAAAAGAAAAATTTATGCAATTATTTATTTTTATTTTCATTTATTAATGTAATATTCTTCGGTTAGTTCCAAGTTATGTAGTATTTGTTTAAATTACGATTTCATATACTTCTGTTGGACTTACATCAGACTGGGTTACCTGTTTGCGGACAGCTGGACCAATATTCAACTTCCTGTCCTTGAATACCAAATTGTCCGACTGCAAAACACACAAGTCTCAATTAACTTCCCTTAAATATCTAATTTAATAAAGCAAATTGTGAGGACTTTTTTTTTTACATGTTTTATTGCACTCTCTTGTTTAAATAAAGTAATAATATTATGATCATAATTATGATATGAACATTTACTTGATAATTAACGATACAAGCTTCCATCTGATATTCCGCGAGATTTCATACATACATCTTTTTTAATAATTCTGTCAGCATCCTCCTGATTTTCAAATGTAATAAATCCATATCTGAAAATTAAAACACACCTGTTGAGGACCAGCGGAGCATTTTAGTCAGGAATCAATATATAAAAGTTTCAGGCCTTACAAACTCTTTAATTCGAGATATAAAGCATCAAAGGTTGAGCATTCTGGCCCCTTGTGGCCTTTATTAATGTAACATATGCAGGCCTTTCAAAATCTGCCGGTACCCGTTACTTTTACCCGGTTGGATTCGTTCATGGTACCGGCCAAAATATTCAGTAGAGAAAAAAAATCGCGTAAAAAATACGATAAGCCTTACCATGTTTTACACAAGTTGTGGTTACGTAGCTTTGTATTATTCTTAGTCCGTAATGGTATCTAATAACGTTTTTGATTGGTTAGTCAAGAAGATCATTAAAGCGTTTGAATAAATGAAACAAAAGAGATTGCGTAACGCGTCTTATAGATCTTTGTCGAAAACGAAAGTAGATTTCGATCCGTCAAATTCCTCCGTCACTGATTTTGACAAAAGCTAATAACTATGGATGTATTTTAAATAAATACGGCCAAAAAAATTAAAAATAGGAATCCAGGTGTCAGAAATGAAAGTGTTAATTTAAAGCCATGGTAATGAGTTTCACGAAAGATTTTAAGATACAAGGAACTAGACCGCGGAAAGTCTTCAACACAACTGACCGATAGAGAAACCGACATGAACAATAGGTAGTTCTTTGACCACCTCTGTACATTTTAATAGCCTCAACTCTTCAAATTTAAGTGTCAAAATCCGCAGCTGACGATATAAATTACTTACAGTCTTAAATATCTGCAACTTTCTGATGAAACAAAAGGACATAAAACAGAAACTATTTCTTTTGCCATACATTTAATTCTTCGATTCAGCAGTTTCCTAGTGGTCAAGAGAATGACCTTGCGGACGTTTACTTTCTTCCCAGTATTGTAACCATATCCAGTAAAGTTGGAGTCATATCTAAATTTTTTTGTCTCCAGTCTTGATGTCATCTTTGTGTAATTTACACAAGTATATTATTTATGTACATGTACCAGTGCATGAAAAATATGCTGAATTTATTGGTACATGCTATGCATCATGTAGTGCTTCTTCTAATTTTTTTTAATCTGCACTTTACTGTAGATCAAAAATGAATACATTTAATGCAAATACAATTTCATTTCTCTTTTATTAAATTTAAATTTTGAATTTCCATTTCCTTTCATGACTCAATAATTTTTTTTATATTTAAAACATACCACTTACAACTCAAACCTTGCAAAAATTTTTGAACAAATTTATATAAACAAATATAGCATAGAACTTAGAAGTTTTACCTAAATCTTATTGTTACTCTGCTCAAATAACTAATTTTTCTATGTAATTTCACCCATCCAGTGCTAAACTTCACATGTAATGTGTATTGACCAAAAATAAACTTGGAAACATGGCATAAAAATAACACTGATAGCAGCATACTTCTATGTGTCTAGAAACCAGGAAATGCTGTCTGGTGGCTTCTAAATTTCAAAATTTTTCCGGGGGGGCATGCCCCCGGACCCCCCTAGCAGGCTCACGCCTTCGGCGTTCGCCGAATGGTACCTCCTATTTTTGATAAAGTACCACCTGGTTCAAATCTTTTTGAAAGCCCTGCATATGACATCAATATCATAAGTATCCAAGGATTTAACAAGAGATGTTTGTAAAACAACATCCCCCAAATAACTGGAATTTTTCGAAGTCCAAGGAACGTCATGATTTCACATAACTCTGTCAAAAATGGCTTGTTCATACCAAAAAACAGGACTTTATCTAGATATTCTTAGGATAAATCTGTATACCAAAATTTAATTTCAATATGTGCAACCTTTGAAAGAAAATGAATGGAAACTGCAAATAATTGCAATTTATTTTTTTTGTAACTCCAAGGGACATAACTCTGTCAAAAATTGCTCTATTGAATCCAAAACATAACTTGATCTAGATATTGTTAGGATAAATCTGCATATCAAATTTCATTTCAATATGTGCAACCACTGCAAAGAAAATGAACACAAATTGCAATTTAAGAAATTTGAATTTTTCCAAGTCCAAGGGGCACAAGTTGATAACTCTTGTCCAAAATTGCCCAGAACATGACCTAGATCTTCTTATGATAAATATGTATACCAAATTTAAGTTCAATGTATGTGCAACCTCTGGGCAGAAAATAAAATGTATTTGACAAGCAATTGTAATTTTCAACAGAACTACCCCTAAAAATCACTAAGTTCTGACTCTGCACCATAATCATTACACAGCTAATCCCAAATGAAGGTAGAGCTTAGGCTTTTTTGATATCCAAAATCTGACTTTATTAGCAATAGGTCAGGACACATCCTTAGGACATACTGTTTTATTTTTGCACTAGCACATGCCATGGCCACAAATATTGCTGAATTCAACAGCTAGAACATAACAACCAGAACACAATAGGATGGTCAAGATCATAGAATGTGTTTGTAATAAAAATCTGGAATTCTGAAGCTATGCTTTTTTTCCAGCATCAGTCAGAGCCAAATACTCCCACTTTGCTATAGTTGTGCTAGTGAACTTTGTTACCTTTTATCAGATTTCTTCAAATTACCTAATTGGTAATAATATGTTACCAAACACTGAGGTTTGAATTCCCCCTTCTCTTCATTACATTACCATTATATACATACCCTTTCGATACCCCAGCCCGATCTGCAATTATCTTTGAGTCTTTTACAGCTCCATACGCAGCAAAAAACTGCTTCAATTCCTGTTCTGATGTCTAAAAATTTAAAAGAATTAACTTACTCATTGAATCACTTCATATGTGAAAGTAAACTAGAGCATTTCAATCAAGACATCACCCACCAGGATACTACTTTTATTGTTAAGATTGACTTGAAAGATTTCCAGCTGAAAAAAGCTGGCAAACAACAATTTTTGAACAGATAATCAAGATGTAAAAAAATATGTGGACTTTCCTACTTACATTAGCTGCAATTCCACCTACAAAAATGCGATTGGGGATGACTGTGCCATATTTTGGAGCATGTGTACTGCCGAGGGGTGTTGACGACGGGGTTACAGATGGGGAGACATCAGCAGAAGAAGACTGTAACAATAAATGTCACCAATCTTAAAAATTCTAGTTGAGGCCACACCAATTTGTAACATAGTTCTTCAGATTTTCAAAAATGAAAAGAGAGGCGAGCGAGCGAAAATATTTTACAAATATTTATTTTTTCAGTTTTCAAAATTATGAGGCGAGCGAATATAATTAATGTTAGTGGCAAAAATTTCTAAGTTCTTCTATAGTACACAGGGGTGTGCAATTGAGAAAAAAATCAAGTACTTTCCCACAGGCTAGTGGCAGCTTTCAAGTTAATAGCCCCTAGTAAAAAGTTACTTACCCAAACAGAGGGGCAAAAATTAAAATAAATACTAATCTGGAGAAGAAATTAATTGCTGAAAAAGTCAGGGTACTGGGGTCATTCTTTTTAAAATTAAAGTTAAAAGTTCTCACTATCAATATTAATCATGCATAAATTGTAATGAAAAAAAAATTAAATTAATTTAAATGAATTATCTTCCCTTTTTCTTGATCATTGCACTAGCTCATTTAGAATAAAATCAAAATCATTTTGTTTTCATCTTAAATCATTAAATACACTGGAAATATATTTCATGTGAGTCATAAAACACTTATCTTTCAGTTCATTGGATAATCGTAAATAATTTAATGAGATATCTGCATGTATTTACCATAAATGGAGGAATAGAGGAAATTCGGATTAGGAAAAAACGATCGTTTTTGGAAGTAAATAAGTCAGATAGAACTACAAAACAGATAAGATTATAAAGATTTATTGACAATAGGAGCAAGTTGTCTGGAAAATTTTAACTGGTTGGGAATTTTATAATAAATACAAGTGAAAATACCGATTGTTCTTGTCATTCGTTGTTGCATTGCGTGTGTAGTTATGTTTTTTACTAGCCCAACGTGCTACCTCCTTGCAGAAAACACCTAGCCTGATCCCCAAAAATGGTAGCCCCGGTTGTTTGGATATGCTAATTGCTCACCCCTGGTACATACAAACAGTTACACGAGCGTCTTGCAAAACTTCACAGACTGCTACAAAGTACAAACACTAAATCCCGCGCTTCTGTCACACAAATTTCCAAGTCTTTTATGCATTTTGTGTAAAAAGTTGAGAAAAAAAATTATATTCAGATATTTTTGGATGCGCGCGCAAAATTTATTTTTTTAATATTATAATTTGGATTTGTTAAAAATAGAAGCGGCGAATCCGACGAACTACAGTCAATGGACAAATGTATTCGTCATTTTAATTGGCGTTGCGTTAATCGCGATGCCTCTTTCGGCTATTTTTCACTCGTGCTATTTATAGAACAAACGAAATAGAATGAAACTTTCAATAAAGAGACTGGAGAAATTACGTCACGATTTTGTGACGTCATTTTGTCACTTGTGTGTCTGTAAACACTGGAAAACATCACTCGAAAACATGGGGCGAAAATCAGTTGAGTTGAGCACTGAGGTAAAAGAAATGATCGTAAAATCTGCAAACCACACTCCAAATAAAGCAGAACTGGCAAGAATGTTTGGTATACCAAGGTCAACAATCATGAGTATTTTGAATAAATTTGACAGACTGGGTACTGTAGAAAACTTGCCGAGATCTGGCCGTCAACTTTTGTTTACAACTCGGGACAAGACGAAGTTGAGTCGCCTCGCTAAAGCAAACAGAAGGGACACTTTGACAGATTTAACAAACAAACTGAACGAAGGAAGAGGAAGACAATTTAGTGAGAAAACAGTATTTAGAAAATTACGTGAAGAAGGGTACAAAAGGAAACGTGCAAGGAAGACTATGGTGGTTCGATGTGTGAACAGAAAAAAACGGGTAAAATGGTGTCAAGAACGAAAAAACTGGAAAAGTGATAATGAATGGAAAAAATATATATTTTCCGATGAAAGTCAGATTGTTATCGGGACAGATAACCGTGTGTATGTGTGGAGAAAGGATGCCGAAGCGAACAGTCCCCATTTGATTTGTCCGCCATCGAAAAGGAAGGTAACACTTATGATCTGGGGATGCATGTGTTTTGATGGTATGGGAACTATTGTACCTGTCGAAGGTAATATAAATGCACTCAAATACTTGGAAATAGTTGACAATAATTTATGGCCTGTAATTGCCAGACATTTCCCGAACAAAGACTATGTTTTCCAAGACGATAATGCTCCCGTACATAGGGCTCACGTAGTGAAAAACTATATGACCGAAAATAATATTAACTGCACAGATTGGCCAGCTCAGTCTCCAGATTTAAATGTGATTGAAAACATTTGGAGAGCTTAAAGGCATGTCCGCAACTATTGAAAGTCGCGATCAGCTGTTTCATGCAATCAGACAAGTGTGGGAAAACATCCCCTTGGAATACGTCCACAGCCTCTACGCATCCATTCCAGATCGGATTAAAGAAGTAATTCGTATGAAAGGAAATCTGACCAAATATTAGGTAAGTGACTTTAATTTTAAGTATACAAATCTACGTTTAAAACTTCCGTTGTGAACGTAAACAACGCGATGCCATTTTGAAAAACAGGGCTCGAGCTGTGATTCGCCATTGTCGCCAATTGCGAATTTTTTTCAAAAGTGGCGAAAAGAAATTCATAAGTGGCGAAAACGAATTTTTTAGATGTACCATGTACAAAATTTGTGTAGCCCTGGTTAGCTCCTTTGTTTATTCAATGTACACAGATAAGTCCCTTTGTTTATTTAATGCAGCAGAGGTGTGAAAACTGAAACCTACATGTAGGAAATCACGTCTCGCTTGAACGAACAGAGCTGACTAGGTAACTAGCCTGGAGCAATAAAGGGTTATAAAATTGCTTGAAATAATATAATTTGGATTAAACGGGGGGATACAGTGTTATTAGGAGATGAAGTTAGTATATAAAAGATTTTTATCAACAAAATCTGTCTATGTAGATCGTTTTTTAAAACCGAAAGTAGGGAAACATGACGAAAATTGTAAAGAATGGCTTCAAATTTTACCTACTGAAAATTAAAAAAATTGTATATTAATACACCATTAACTGACCAAGAGTGAAAAAGAAATTGGTTTGGAAACAGAATTATCTTTAGTTAGTAAATTACTCTGAATTATTTACATTAACATTTGCATATTATACCCTGGAGTCTCCAAGTTGTTAAAATAAAGTCAAGTTTCAAACCTAATTTTCATTACTTTTTAATTTACTTCTTTTCACAATTAATTAATGAAATGATGAAAATTTCAATTTTTAAAAAATGTCATATTTTTACTAGGTCTGTACCCCCCCCCTCCTTACCAGGCGAACAAAAAATAAAGAGTTGGCTGATATAAATACAATATCAAATTAATTGTGTAATTCCAACATTATTATTTTTTTCTTTTTTAAATGGATACTACCATAAGTTTTAAACATTACATTTTTAAAACAATGTCTCTGTCAGATAAACATAATAAAAAAAAAATTGAATAACAAAAAGTGCTTGCATTGTCGAGAAATCAGATGTAAGTATGCCTTTCCTTAAAGCTTGTGTCGCGAAAAGTGGCGAAAAAAAATTTCGGTCCAGTGGGAGCCCTGTTGAAAAATGACGAATACTTTTGTCCACTGACTGTATATTAGAAATTGGTATGGCCTGAACCACTTTTCTATTCATTGTTCAGAAAAAAATTCGATTTTTCTCATAATAAATGTATTTTCACATAATTGGAAAATCTAGCTGCATACAACTTTATGTCATTTCTCATTCCTTCTCTTAGAATCAAGTGGGAATTTCAAATTGGTAAAAAGTGTCAAAAATAGAAATTGAAAACACAGCAAGTTGTTTTCTGATTAAAAAACACAATTAGAATGTAAACCGTAAAATGATATCTTCTTGTTCTTAAAAAATCTTTTATCTTTATTTTTGAGGAAAAAAATTAAGCGACAGACTTGAATGCAGCAGATTTGACACCCCGTGACATCAAGTCAATAAATTAATTTTCACAGCATATCAAAACATACAGCAGAGCTTAGAAGTGATACATTGTCATCACTTGTATTTTCTATTTCAACATGAATTAAAAGTTACATTTGATTAGTTGTTACACAGGCAGCAAATTTCGACGGTAATCTCAATCCATACTTTACAAACTTTTGGCAATATGTTCTCAATACTTTACAAACTTTTTAAAATATAGTTCCTGGTAATCACCTTTAAGTAAATAATATATTGTTTTACAAATGAATACGTAGACTAAACTGGCACTGCAAATTTAGAAACTGATTTAGGCCCCAACTCATTTTCTCAACGGTGAAGAGCAGGCGCTCTATGTTCTGTTCAAGGCCAAGTTGGCTGTCTTCAACCTGCACAAGACATATCTCCTGTCATAAACATGGTGCCGAATTGAAACCTGATGCGGTGCATGATGCGCTAATTTTAGTCATTGTTTTGCCTGTTACTCCTGCAAAAGGTTAACACAGTTACCGTGCTTGCGTTTCTTCGTATCATCTCTCATGAACTATAAATCTACACAATATCACTTACCTTGATTTAGTTTGGGATACATATTTGTTATACTCACCATTCTGGGGAGACAAAAACACTCCTACTACAAAACAGACTATATATAAATAATATAACAGATCCTACAGCGAGGATGATCTTTGCAGCCGAAACTTGGATGAGTCGGAGAACTGTCGGACCTGTCTAAGAGTAGGGGGTAACAGGATACTTTGAGTAGAGCTGAGATATTTATTCTTTTTAAGATAGAAATATATCATTGTACTGGAAATCTTAACATATATTCTAGGACATTTTCATTGAGGATTGTGAAAAGAATGTAAGAAATTGCTAGTTATTTTTACGACCACTAGTTCATCTTTTCCATCACACCCCTATGTTTGGTATCGTCCAAGAACTTCTTCCCGCCTGACGAGTGTTCACTATGACGTTTGATGACTCTACCCGAGGTACATAGCGCACACGTGCTCTCTCTCTCTCTCTCTCTCTCTCTCTCTCTCTCTCTCTCTCTTTACTAGATATTTAATTCAAAGCAGAAAGATAATTAGATTGCTTGAGGTTTCAATTTTAATTCTTACAAAAAATATAATTAAAATTTGTTTAAAAAAAACTAATAAACACTTGTTTTTTTGTTTTTTTTTTTGTATATCTACATAATCTGTAGATAAGTCTTATCGACCTTCCTATATATCTAATTAATCCAAATAAAAAAAAAATCAGTATATTCTCAATATGCTCTTACACATCGACTTTATGCTTTACCAGAAATAATAAAAGAAACTCAAAGGACCAGGGGAATGGAGTCGGTATTTAAATCGTTGAATTTTTTTTTTTTTTTTTTTTTTTTATAAATAAAAATATTATTATCTTCAGTAATTTACCCCCCAAAAAATCACTAACAACATATACACCACGTGGCATCGATTTTGACGGGGGGGGGGGGCAGAGAAAAAAATTTCAAACCGGAAAAAAATCTGACAAGCAAAAGAAAAGAAAAAAAGAGAGGGGGTGCCCTCACGCCCTTGTATTTCTGTCAATGAAGAATTTTAAAAAAATAGAGCTTTGCAGGCGCGACTTCCACAAATCAGGATCTGTTATAGTAATGGCTACAGTACAAGAAGATAAAGCAAAACTGTAGCGCGAAAGCATACCAGATACACATATACATAAATTATAATTGCATTCCAAATATCAGGCACGTAGCAACAGCGGGGGGGGGGGGGGGGGGCAAAGTTTTTCAAAACATTGCATATTTACTATTCAAAATGTTCATTGAAAAGCCCCCCCCCCCCCCATTTTTGTTGCAGTATATAGCGTATGAAAAAAAAGGTACTGAACGAAGTTCGATCTTAACCCCCCCCCTCCCCCTTCACAAAATAGTGTCATGTTGTAAATTTTGAATTTACCGGGTGCATGGCAGTTGATACACAATTTACAAGTTGTCATGTTGTAATTTTTTTTATTTAGCTGCCATGCACCCCGTAAATTCAAAATATTTACATCGTGACAGAACTGCATGCTTTCTGTGTGTTGCTTAGTACACCCGAAGAGGATGCTTATTTTTTTTTTTATTGAGTGAAATATTTTCTATTGAATCAAGGATCAAGTTCAAATGTAAATTATCAGGGAGAAACTGTCTTGGTTGTTTTTAGATTTATGAGGACGTTCAATCAGTTTGCTTGCGCGAGAATTTTACGCATAAACACCGCATTGATCACAACATCGCATTGATCATAACATAAAACAAAAAAAAACTAGACGGTTATTTCTAATTTTTTTCCTCTATGATTCGGAAGACCAAATTGTGTCCGGGGACTACGACCACATTTCCCAATTAAATGAAATATAGACGAATCTTTATATCAATGAAAAATAATGAAATTATGATCATATGCATGTCTCCATTTCCCATATATAGTATAATGATGAAGTTACATAAAAATAGCTGGACATGGAGATAAATGCTCTTCTTTTTAATAGGAAAAACAAAAACAATTTGAGGTTTTCCGAAGGAAATCAGAAGATTTTAATGACTCTACTGCTTTTACGTAAAGCATTACGGTAAAAATCAAAATATGTTTCTGACTAACAAAATAAATGATTTTATACAAGAAAAAATTATCAAAAATTTACATTATTTGATGTTTTCAATGCCCCTGCGCACTGTGATTTTTGTGTAGTCAGTGAATGTTATAATGAGGCCATGACTGAATATATTCGTACAGTGTCTGCCCCGGGCACTCTGTATTTCCTACGTCACGATGGCCTTTAAGTTTGTAGTTCCCGATTATCTTTCCGTTATCCACACCACATCTTATCAGCGCCTGCGCGGCGCGGATGGCATTTGCATTAGGAAGTCTTTCACGGAAATCACCAATAAAAGAGATGCCTACAAAACGTAAAGTCAGTTAAAGAAAAAAAAAACATCCACCACTGAACCTTTTCTTAACATTTTATAAATCTTCATTTCACAGTTTTTTCATCATTCTTTGGGTTGGGTGGAGGCATGACTCTGTCATTTGATAAGATTTCTTACCTCGACTCACGGAATTGTAGCCATTGAGTATGAGCTTACCTAAACTCACGTAATTGTAGCCATTAAGCATGATCTTACCTAAACTGACGGAATTGTAGCCATAAGCATGATCTTACCTAAACTCACGTAATTGTAGCCATTAAGCATGATCTTACCTAAACTCACGTAATTGTAGCCATTAAGCATGATCTTACCTAAACTCACGTAATTGTAGCCATTAAGCCTGAGCTTACCTAAACTGACGGAATTGTAGTCATAAGCATGATCTTACCTAAACTGACGGAATTGTAGCCATAAGCATGATCTTACCTAAACTCACGTAATTGTAGCCATTAAGCCTGAGCTTACCTAGACTATTGGAATTGTAGCCATAAGCGTGAGCTTGCCTAAACTGACGGAATTGTAGCCATAAGCATGATCTTACCTAAACTCACGTAATTGTAGCCATTAAGCATGATCTTACCTAAACTCACGTAATTGTAGCCATTAAGCATGATCTTACCTAAACTGACGGAATTGTAGCCATAAGCGTGAGCTCCCACCTGATCCCAGCCACGCCCCTCATACACGTTCCCGTCCTCCCCCACCATGAAGTTGTATCCAACATCCCACCAGCCTAATTACCAAACCGCCTAATTAGCATAATTCCCCCTTGTATACATATCGACTGGTAAAGACAATTTTTAAAGATTTTTAAATTGAAATGGTTTCTGCCCTTTTCCTAAGGCCCAAGAAAGGTTTGGACTATGAAATTCACGTTCCTTCGTTCCTTTTTTGCTCACCCGAGCCGAAGCCTCAAGTGAGCTAGTCTGATCAAAATTTGTCCCTTGTCTGTCGTCGTCGTTATTGTCGTCGTCATCGTTGTAAACTTTTTACATTTTCATCTTCTTCTCAAGAACCACTGGACCAATTTCAACTAAACTTGCCAAAAAGTATCCTTGGGTGAAGGGAATTAAAATTTGTTCAAATGAATGCCCTCTTCCAAGTGGAGATCATTATGACTTAGCAAAAAATTAATGGCATCTTTTAAAAATCTTCTCCAAACCCACTGAGCCAGGATGGATGAAACTGTGGAATTATCCTCAAGTAGTGCAGATTCAAGTTTGTTCAAATCATGACCCCAGGGGTAGGGCAGGGCCACAATGGCTGATCAAAGTTTTACATAGGAATATATAGGAAACATATTTTAATATCTTCTTCTCAAGAACAGCAAAGCCTTGAATGGTGATATCTATATGGAAGCATCCTCAGGTGGTGTAGATTCAAGTTTGTTCAAAACATGACCTCCGGGGTAGAGTGGGGCCACAATTGATCATTAAAGTTTTACATAGGAATATGATACAGAAAAATCTTTAAAAAAGTACTTCTCAAGAGCAGTGAAGTCATTATTGGTCATATTTATAAGGAAGCATCTGCAGGTGGTGTAGATTAAAGTTTGTACAAATCCTGACCCCGGGGATAGGGTTGGGCCACAATGGATGATCAAGGGTTTACACAGTAACATACATGTATAATCTTTAAGAAACTTCTTCTCAAGAACATCAAAGCCATGGTTGGTCATATTTATATGGAAGCATCATCAGGTGGTGAAGATTCAAGTTTGTTCAAAATATGACCCCTGGGAGAGGGGTGGGCCACAATGGACGATAAAGTTTAATATAGGTATATATAGGAACAGTCTTCAAATATCTTCTTCTCAAGAACACCACAGCCATGATTGTTCATATTTATGTGAAAGCATCAACAGGTAAAATTCAAGTTTGTTCAAAATCATAACCCCCTGGGTAGGTGGAGCCACAATGGACGTTCAGAGTTTAACATAGGAGTATATTGGTAAAATCTTCTTCTCAAGAACAGCAAAGGCATGGTTTGTCATTTTATTTGGAAGCATGATCAGATAGTGTAGATTCAAGTTGTTCAAATTGTACCCACTCCCCCTTACCCCTTCTGCGTTTTAGGAGTAGGTCGGGACCAATTATGCATTTAAGCTTTTTAATACTAAACTGATTTTTGCCTTATCCTATTCACAGTACTCAAGTAAGCGATGTGGCCCCTGGGCCTCTTGTTTTTATACTTGCTCCTTTCCAAAATAAGTTGGGTCATCTAGAGAAAAAGCTCAAAGGCTTATGGTTCATAACTTGACAACTTTTTGGAATGGATAGGATTAGGTCATACAAGTGGCTCAAGAGGTTAGCACTTTTGGTCAAACTGATTAAAGATTTGTAAAGCTTCTGTGATTTCAAATTACGGTAACATAACATCAAAACTTTATGATATCAATAAAAGTGATGATTTCAATTTTTCTACCGTCAAATTCCCTTACATTTATGCAGTATTACCCTTATCATCGATATCCATGCACGTATGGTGTTTATATCTTCCATGCAGTGGAGTCGGTATTCATGAGCATGCTCTATGTATGAACAGTTTCTAAAATGAGACAAGCTATTGACAAACAAGTTGGAGAAACAAGTCTCGTTTAAAGTGAGCATTTGGCAAATTCTATGGTGGATACAAGTAACTTGTCAGCTAGTACAATCTTTTATAAAGCTTAATGCCGACTGACTTCTTTCATACTTATTCAATGTTAAGCAAATTATTTACAAACCGGATTGACTAGAGGTTTTAACGTTTGTCCATTCGTGACAAGGAGCACACGGCAGGCGAGA